CTAACAGAAAATGTTAGTATTTTTCCTCCTGCAGTGTTCCAAGGTGCAGCATGGCTGGTGATCTATGTGTAGAGCAGAATGAGTCAGGGATCTGAATCACTCGACCAGAATGCAGCCCACGTGTTCTCTCTTTTAGGTTTCAATAGCAGAGTGTCTGGTCATGAAGAGGCCCCCAGCTGAGAGCACAGCAGAAGGACAGCCCTCAGCCCAGACAGAAAACAGACCTGAGCAGTTCTTCAGGAGTCCAGCTCCAAGGGGAGACAAGATTTCAAGAATTGAAAATCTCTGTTGTTCCTCATTTATAGGAAACTAATTTGAAATAAAAACACATGGCAGAGATACATGAAATATGCTTAGCAGACCATAGGTTCATATACGCAGTCTTATTGCCACTTTTATTCTTTTAAGTTGTCTGGATTTCATTATGACATATATCCTAGGTTGAATTATGTCTCCCTCAGATTCATAAATTGAAGTTCTAACTGCTAGCACCTTAGCATGTGACCTTATTTGGAAACAGGACTGTTGTAATAAGATGAGATCATTAGGTGGGCCCTCATCCATTATGACTGATGTTCTCATATAAATGGGGAAGTCTGGACACAGAGATGTGCATAGAGGGAGAATGATGTGATGATAAGGGTAGAAATCAAGGTGACACTTCCAAGAGCCAGGGAACAACAAAGCTTGTCAGCTAACCATCAAAAGCTAGACAAAAAGCAAGGAAAGAATACATTCTCAAAACCCTCAGAAGGAACTAATCCTGCCATCATCTCCATCTTAGACTTCCAGCCGCCAGAACTGTGAGCTGATGTTTCTGTCAAGTCACATGGTACCTGCAGTACTTGGTTATGGCAGCCCTAGCAAATGCATCAGTATATAATGTACAATGTAAAAATCAGTCATTGTACAATTGATCAAAAAAAGTGACCAAGTGAGTGCCTGGTTGTGGTCCTTCTTGAAGAAAGATACTGACTTAGAGTCTTTCAAGAGATGCTTGAGTGAGGTGTAACAGCATTTGGTACCAGCAAAGGAACTATTGCTGTGATACTGCCATGGACCTCAACAGAATGAAAATATGTGTCCCTTCCCCCATGACATCCTAATATACCCTTTCACCATGGAGTAAACTAGGCCCAAGAAGTACAGTCATCACCAGTTCTACTGGCAAAGGAACAAAGGCAAAGTTTGTTCCACTTACACTTAATTGGTTATTCACCAATTCTCTTCTGATAGTCAAATTGAAAAGCAATGAAAGGGGTACAAAGGATCAATACAATAATCATCAACCAGTGAAGTAGGATCCACTATGTGACATGGGTGCATGCAGACTTGGAATGCCCCAAAGGCCATGTGAACGGCAGTTGCTTTCCCATGATCCTAGCTTCTAATAGTCCTCTCTGAAAGATGGACTGCCTCCTAACTTAGGTAAGGCCATTTTGGCCATCACTTTTTTTTTCTTTAAAGAGAGAGAGAGAGAGAGAGAGAGAGAGAATTTTTTTTTTTTAATATGTGTTTTTTTAGTTATCGGCGGACACAACATCTTTGTTTGTATGTGGTGCTGAGGATCGAACCCGGGCCACACGCGTGCCAGGCGAGCACACTACCGCTTGAGCCACATCCCCAGCCCCTGGCCATCACTCTTTTAAAGTCACTTTTGCTTTAACTTCATATATTATGCAAAGCAATTGAGACTCTGCATTATTAAAATAATTTGCTTTTTATGATAGTTCATTCATACCTGATATTATATGGCTTTGTTTAGGCTACAATTATTACTATTTTTTGAGATATACTACAATACAAAAGAGGGACATAGGGCTTGGAAGCTGTTGTGGTTTGGATCTTAAAGCTCATGTGTTGAGGATTTGGTCCCCGATGCAGCAGTGTTCAGAGTGCTACATGGAGCCTTTGATAGATGATTGGATTATGAGAGCTCCAACCGCATCAGATGGATACATACTATAATGGGTTTGGGGCAAGGGGCTTCATTTTAAAATGAGCTATCTCTCTCTTTCTGCTTCCTGGCTGAGTACTTTGCTCCACCATGAGTTCCCCACCATGATGCTTTGCCTTGCCATAGTCCCAGAAACAATGGAGCTAAGTGGCCATAATTGAAATTTGTGAAGCTATGAGCCAAAATAAATAGTTACTTCTTTTAAGTTGTTTTTATCTGGCATTTTGTCACAGTAATGGAAAGCTGGTTAACACAGAAACTTTTTCCTCATCATGCATAAGACCAGAGTTTATCTACCTGCAAAGGCAGTGGTCTCCACCTCCCAAACCAGTGATTCCCTCCACATAGCATGCTGTGTATGTTATAAGGAGATAAAATCTTCTAATTTTATGAATATATCATTCCAAGGAAAATTAATTGTGTCATCAGGCAAATAGAGCCCATGACACATACAACTGTGAAATCACAGTGTTTCAACAGACCAATGAAAATGTAAGAAATCCTCTTTACCTTTTCCATAACATGCTATAGAACCACCATTTGATCTATTCCAGTTTCAACAGCTAATTAATTTGCAAAGCCACCCATTCTATATTTGGACTGCTGGATAGGCAATATTATCTATGCATATGTGGGCCATTTTTTTTATTTTTCAGATATCAGTTTCAGCCACAGTTTTTTAAAGAAACCAGTTGGATGGTAACGAAGGAAGTTTTTTTGGATGCTTAGGTGGGCATTTGAATTATTTAAACTTAAAAGGAAATAAAATCAGATATCAAAGAATCAAATTGCAAATACAGAGATGTATTAACTAAATATTTGCATTTACTAAGTACCTACTGTGTGCCCAGTACTACACCAGAAAATTGAAGACAGATGTCAAAGATAGCATCATTATCCACAATTAACTCAAAATATTATCTAACCATGATTAAATATAAGAAACAAATTTTGAATCAATGGACGACACAGTATACAGTTACTTCCTAAGTTGGTTAGGACTAAATTTTGTAAGAGTTCAGAGGATGGTAATAAACAGTGGAGAGTTTTTAAGAGTCATCATGAAGTACCTGGGTTGACCATGTTTGGAGACAAGCGAGATTTAGAAAATCATAGGAATTAAGAAGATTTCTTTGAGAATGTATCCATATTTATAGGGTAATTATACAACTACTCCAAAATACACAAAATAAAATTACGAAGATTCTATTATTATTGTTAAAGTGAGGTGGATGGGAATGAGAAGGATGTTGAACTATAATCAAACGTAAGTAGGAACCAGGAAAACACCATTGCATCATGGCATAATGCAGGGAGAAAACCAAACTCAGCCCTTAACTTGGGTATTTTTCTAACTGACAAATTGGATAATTAACGTGCAGTTTGTCCTTAAAGAAAGATATAGAATATTCCCAAGGAGTTCTTTCCTCCATATCTCAGTCACCTTTAATGTCCCCCACTGTGCAAAAGTGGAAAGCTCTTGTTTAGCTGATTAACTGTACCCTTCATTATATATACAAATGTCCTTCTCCCCCTCCCAGATTATATAGCACTTCCAGAGACCTACTTAACCACCTGATTAATTACTGGACCTCTATGTAAATTACTGTCAAGACTAAGATGATCATTTCATCACTGATTCTGCTTGATGAACATTTACAGTTTAACATATCTGACAAAGCCATTTGTAAACCTCTATAATATAAATGAAGGTACATTAAAGCTACAATAAGTCCATAATATTAATAGCCTTAAAATAATTTGCTAACTACAGACAGTTCCCTAAACAATTACAAGACGTTCTATGTTAATTTAGAGGGGAATTCCAAACAAGGCATTTAAAACCTAATAAGATGCCATTAAATGAAGGGGACAGGGGAGGGGGGGAAATAGAAAGAAAACCCTAAGGCTTAAACTAGTAGAAATGATTCTCAGAGCTACTGACCCTTGCAAGATCCATGTTTTCTTGGATTTAAGACACAAAGTAGATTTCTAATTGAAGGTGATTATCTAGATACTACTTCCCAAATTGTATATTTTCTTGTATTGATTCACATCAACAACTAATTACATGGAGCATTTATGAATCTGAAAAGTCCACAGGAACAGTCAAGGCAATCTCTGGACTATGTACAATGAAAACAAGCTCTGTAAACTATGAGGCACTACACAATATGACAACAGCCTGCCTCCTGGTATTTGTGTAGACCTAAGACTTATGATGTCAATCAAATAGGAATGGATTTTTATGAAGAGATCACAGAAAAAAATTCTTGGCTTGTTCTTGAATTTTCTGGGGTGTGGACACCACTGTGCATGCCTGTGAGTCCACTGAAATATACACATTGATATAGTCACCGTCACTATGAGGGAAAAAGGAACAGCAACATACACTTTTAAAAACCAAAAGACAAATTCCTATGCAGCAAATTTTATCTCCACACACTTGACTCAAGAGCTAGGTGACTCTACCTAGCACCAAGGTGGCTAGCCCGATGGAGGCAATAAAACAGCAAAAAATATGCAGACTTCTGCCAAGGCCCAAGTATGCCTCCATAAAATATAGTTCCCATTAGCTGGGTTAATTAAGATTAACACACAAGTCATTGAAAACCCCCAAAGTGGACAAAAGATAATTTACTATGGAAAGACACAAAGACTAGAAGTCACTCTGAGTCATTCAATAATACACTGGAAGGAAGTTTCTTATTAATACTCAAGTTGTCACCATTGATTATAAAATGAGATGCATTCAAATAGCTCACAAAAAGCTAAAGAACCCCTTGTTTTGTTAGTGAAGCTCTATGAACAAGGCAGAGTGGAACCCAGGAAATGTGCAAGTAAACCTAATCACATATATTATAATTACTATTAAACAGATTAACACACACACACATATGAATGTTTGCATTTTAGGTCTTGAGACTCCACGTCTGGCATTTTTCATTAACTTAGCATAATGTTTTCACAAAAAATAATAACTGGCATGCCAGGCCAATCTCAATATCTCGATATATTGTTGAGAAAGCATTGCCATCCTTACCTCGAGGGTCATGTTCACAGTACTAATGGCCACTTTTATTTCTCCATCAGAAAGTTCCTTTATATCTTTCAACATTGTTTGTTCAATACTTAAACCTGTGGATAACAGGGGGGAAAAAAAACTGTGTTATGCTTTGGGAACTCTCTCTTTTTAAAAATAATAATATCAAAGGATTAATGAATGCACATTAATTTCAACATTTTGTCTTATAATGTCACTTTTATTCATCATATGCACCCACTAAGGCAACAATCACATTTGTGACTATGTCTACACCTGTCAAGTTCCCAGCAGGAAAGAAGAGCCACCCCTCATGATGCAAAAGAAGGCTCTTTAATGTTGGGACACTTACAGAAATATGGGTAAAAGATGGTGCAGCATCTACAGAGCAGCAAAGGGACAAGGGAAGGAAAGAGAAATCTGGAACTGGAGAAGAGATGCTGCCAGAAACAGCACCAAAGCAGGAAGGGAGTGGGGAAGAAATACCACCGCTGTTCCTCCCCTTCCCCTGTGACTGCGACGAGAGTGGAGGTAGGAAAATGGAGAAAAACAGGCAAACTAGTCAAATCATGCCAACAAGGCCAAGATTTGCTTTCAGGGTGCATTTAGGCAAGTCCCTATGTTTTCTAGTATAATTTTGTTCAAAATGCACTTTATAAATGTAACCCATAGAACTATCATAATTGAGTTGGCTTTAGCAGTAGGGGTTATTGAATTCCTTAATTGATGGGAAGAATAATCCAGAATGGCTAAATTATCCAGAACTACATAGTTGTAGTCAATTGACCAACATACTTCAATGAAAGCTATCACAGCAAAACAAGAAATGGTTTGGCCCAACATTTAATCCTCACACTACATTCTTATGTCTGCTTAGGCTTATTGTCTTAGAAGAAGATCCACAATAAAGCTTAGTAAAGCACAGATATCCTTCCCAGCTGTTTGCTAAAGACATCACAGTTGGATTGACTACCCTATCAACTTATAGTACTGTCAATCACAGCATCATGAAAAACGGGTATTAAATATTTTTCTTTAACTAGAAGATTGATTTGTAGAATACGTGTGACATTAAAAGTCTGGTGTTGTTTTGAAAATGAATGAGAATGCATCCCATCCTGCAGCTATGCATACACTCACATCCCGCCTGGCACACAGGTAACTGAAGGCGTGGCAGTTGCTGTCAGTGCCTCGCCCATACTTCGTCAGACCTTCCCGCTCAGTGTGCCTTGCAAGATGCTCCACCACCAGCACCTGCATCTGTTCCTGAAGGCTTTTTTCAGTCACCAGAACAAATTCTGGGGAATTAATACCCCTTGGACTAGGTGGCCTTCACTGTGGGTCTACTGATAAATTCTTAACAGGCAGCAACAAAACTTAATTTGTAATGTTTGTCAGTTTCTGTAGTGTCAACACTTCTACCATGGCTGATCTTGCACAACCAATTCAATATCAACCAATTCACAAAATTCCTCCAAATTTAACCACCAGCCTTTGGAGCCAGAGTGAGCATGTTCCTGCACCACTGCACCCCTCAGCTGGGTGTAATTTTACACACTCTTTCCCAGGGTTTGCTGGTGGCCTTCACCTCTGTTTTTCCACTAAAGTAACTCGCTTGAGAAAGCACTCTACTCCCCTATCAGTGTGGCTGGGATGGTCTCCCAAATAAACTGCTTTGCCCCAGGGAAATCCCAAAGTAAAGGAGAAAGTTATATCATTTAGTGTTTGCCTTGGATGGTCTGGATTTAAATCCTGGCCTGGACACTTTCCTGATGTGTGTTTGATGTTGGGAAAACAAAGAAGCCTTTCTGTGCTTCAGTGTTGTTATCTGCAAGATGAGGATAGATAATTAAGCACCTGATTGTATAAGGATTCAGGAAGATCATCTTTGCAGTGTTAGACCATCAGAACCTTGCGTAAGTTAGGAATTCACTGAATTACAGCTATTTGTTATTATAAAACAGTTGATCCTGAAATTTACTGTCCTGATAAAGCATAAATTTAGAAAGCAATTTTATCAGCTTAGCCATCTTCTCTCTCATTTCTTGCTAACATTAATTGATTTTTGAAATCCCATTGTGCTTGACATTGCTTCTGCCTCATTCCCAAAATAGAACTCTGTAAGCACAAGGATTTCAGGTAATGATGCATCTGGGGTGTTCATTAGACACATGAATTAACCACACATCCAGACACAAAGGCCTCAGAGGAGAGGCCACAGGGCGGACTGCCTGTTTCCAGGTGAGCCAACATCTGAGCCTGAAAAGTCTTTTACAAGCACAAGGCAAGAGAAAAGAGAGAAAGCAGATTCAAGTTCACCTTCTCAGGCCTGACAACGCTCTACACAGAAACTGTCTCTACTTTGGAAGCGGCGGAAGCCATGGGAGACAGAGTCACTTACCCTGGGCACTGAACTGGGTTTCTTGCAGGACATTGATGATGTCCTCTCTTGGAGGCAAGTTAGGAAACTTTTCTTCCAGGACAGAAAGAATCTCTTCCTGCTTCTCTGAGATCTTGTCAGGATCCATGGTCATCCACTTGAAAAGGATGCTGCCTGAAAGGCATGAACAAAAATGCCCTTGAACTTTCAGCCAGCCAAGTCAGGGGAGGAAAAGCAATGTCCTTGTTCTCCAGGTATTAATCTCTGCAACTTAACTGACCCCTGCATGCTCCATGGCACAGAGATTATGGATAAAAGAACAACATGTATACATTTCCCCCAACGCACACAACACACGCAAGTGATCACACCTCAGTTTTAAATTATTTCAAAATGGTAATTAGTGGTAAACTACTTAAGAATCTAGTCAACACTAATCGCTTTAAGCAATCACAGAGAATAGTGTTCCCACTTATCACATTTTACATACGAACTTCCTCGTTTTCGTAACTAAATGCTTGTATACTTTCACCATTAGTAACTGAAGAGTCTGACAAGGTGGTTCACCTGAAGTCCACTGCTGACCTTTCAAGCTCCAAGCACAGTTTTGAAGTAGTTTACTATGATCTAATAATTATAAGGTTTCACGAGCCACGTTTAAATCACAGGTATACATTAAAAGTAATTTGCTAACACAGTTCTCAGGGGAAAAATGTTAAAAGATAGATTGGAGAGGTAGACAGAGGCCAGATCATGAAGGGCCTTACAAATCATCCTGAAACTTATCTTTTATGTTCTAAGGGGAATGGAGAACATTAAGTAGGAAGAATAATATGCTCAATTTCATGTTTTATATGAATCATTCTGGCTACCATGTAGAGAATAAATCAGAAAAGGAATATTGGTAGGGTCAGTAAGGAGGGTTTTTTTTTTAATATATAAGAAGTAAGAAAAGAATGATTTAGCAAACAAAGAACTGGACAGACTCAATTTGAATGATCATTTAAAGGTGGAATGTGGCCAAACATATTTTGAGTATATATATATATATATATATATATATATATATATATATATATATCCTGTAGTCTGACAATTGCTGACGTAAAATTCAAAAAGATCCCCATCTGCTTCTGGCTAGGATTGAATATTTTGTATCAAGAACAAGAACAAGAAATTATATCAACAATAGCAACAGCAAAAAGTGCAAGAATTAGAGATATGTTTTAATTTACATTAAAACATATCTCTAATTCTGAGATTTTTATCTATAGTCAAAATGGCAATTATCAAGAATACAAGTATCAAATGTTGGTGAGGATGTAGGAGAAAGTTCACTCATACATTACTAGTGAGAATGTAAACTCATGCAAACACTCTGGAAAGCAGTATAGAGATTCCTCAGGAAACCTGGAATGGAACCCTCATTTGACCCAGTTATCCCACTCCTTGGTATATACCCAAAGGACTTAAAATCAGCATACTACAGTGACACAGCCACATTGATGTTTATGGTAGCTCAATTCAAAATCACTTAGTTATGGAACCAAACTAGGTGCTCTTCAACAGATGAATGAAATGTTGTAAATATGCATAATGGAACACTACTCAGCCATAAAGAAGAATTAAATTATGGCATTTGCTAGTAAATGGATGGAACTGGAGGCTATCGTGCTAAGTAAAATATGCCAATCCCAAAAAAAACAAAGGCCAAATGTTCTCTCTGATACATGGATGCTAACACACAATAAGCAGAGGGGAAGGAAGAATAGAAGTCCATTGGATTGGACAAAGGGGAATGAAGGGAAGGGAGGGGAATGAGAATAGGAAGGACAGTAGAATAAATTAGATATAACTTTCTTATGTTCATATATGAATACATGACCAGTGTGACTCCACATCATGTACCACCACAAGAATGGGATCCTAAGTTATACTCCATGAATGTATAATATGTCAAAATACACCATTCTGTCATGTATATCTAAAAAGAACAAATTTTAAAAATAAAAAAAATACTTTAAAAATATCTGCAAGATATTTTTTAATTTTTAAAATCCATTACAGGATTAGCCATGTGATACACTCTAAGAAGCCAAGATCCTGGGGAGAAAGTAAGTACTTTCTTACTTACTTCTAAGGGAACCCAACCAACATCAAGTTGCTATTCCTGGAGGGGTATTTGCTATTTCAAGTTGTGTCCAATGAGCTGAGAAAGTTAGAAAATCTAACAATAGTTTCATAGGGCTTGGAGGCTAGAACTAGAGTCTAGGCCCTCCACAGAGAAGCAGTCTTAATAGCCCAGATTTTGACATGGGACACCTGAAGAGCTACACAATAGGATGGGAGTTGGAAAACTTTGGTCTGAAGGTCAAATCTAGTTAATTGTATGTTTTTATAGACAGTTTTATCAGAACACAGCCATGCCCATTCATTTATAATGCTGTTTATGGATTTTGTGTACTATGAAGTTGGAGGTGAGTAGTTGCAATGGAGACTGTAGATCCACAAAGCCTAAAATATTTACTATCTGACCTATTCTGAAAACATTTGCCACCCTCATGTAAGGAAAAGAGTGAAGTCAAAACAACAATTTTCGTGAGGATTGAAATCCTGATGTGTACCACCTCAAACACAGAATAGATTATGTTTATCTGCCACTTTTCTAATTCCTGAAATTAGAAAAGTGGCAGATAAGTGTAAAAGTGTAAAACTAAATCCTCTCTGGAGCAAAAGAATTTCATTATTCACTGCTTATCATGTCTACATTTTTATATACAGTATTCAGTCCTCAATAAAAAAAAATTTACCTGGTATAAAAGAAATAAGATCAAATGACTAAAAACTTCAGAGGAAAAACTCATGAGGAAAAGAATGGAAACATCCAAAGGAAAATTTAAAAGTTAGCTGGAGAATTATAGTAGAAAATTAGACTCTATAAGTAAAACATTCAAATGAAATATAATAACTGAATTTAAGAATACAAAAATATGTTTATGGAAAATTAGACACACTGAGGAAAACATTAGTGAACTCTAAAATATATCCATATGGAAACATTAAGTGAAAAGGGAATGAAAAAACACAGAGATGAGTAGAAGAGACATAAGGAACATGGAGACAGGTTTAACACACGGGTAATTATTCCCCTTGGAGAGGAAAGGCGGGGAGGTCGGGGCAATGGGTGCACTGATGCTTCAAAACTGATTAATACTATTCTAACATTCAAAAATCCTATGAGCCCAAATCAGCACTAATAGAAAGAAAAACACCCATAGGCACATGACAGCAGAAATTTTTTTTTAAATTATAGGAAAAACAATAACCATAGAAAAAAGACATGGCAACCAGGAGAACCACAATGAAATTGAGATGAACTTCTTGACTAATGCAAAGAAAGAAGACAATGGAACTACACTTCAAAATACGAATATAAAATGAAAAAAAATGCCAGGTGCAGTGGAGCATGCCTGTAATCCCAGCAGCTCAGGACGCTGAGGCAGAAGGATCAGAAGAGTTCAAAGCCACCCTCAGCAACTTAACCAGATCCTAAGCAACTCAGCAAGACTCTGTCTCTAAATAAAATTTTTTTAAAAGGGTCTGGGGATTTGACTTAGTGGTTAAGTGCCCCTGGGGTCAATCCCCAGGACCCCCCCCCCCAAAAAAAAAAGAAAGAAAAAAAATGAAATTGAAATAAAGACATTTTCAGAAAAAAAAAAAAACAATTCCTACAGAACAGCTTAATGAAAAGAGGCTTCTGACATTGGCTTATGATTCAGTTTAACTTAACAATTAGAAAGAAATTGATGTACTAACATCAGCAGTAAAATCTAACTAAAAAAGATGCTCACCATACACTGAGTTGTTTTTACAGGATGAGACAGGTCATGCCCAGCTTCAGCCCAGGGACTCATCCGTGTGGCAAACTCTTCAACTTAACATTAGAAACCCATTCAGTATTACTCAGCCATGAAAAGATTGAAATTACAGCAGATGCCAGGTAAATGTATGGAACTGGCGATTATCATGCTGAGTGAAATAAGCCAATCCCCAAAAACAAAAGCTGAATGTTCTCTGTAATATGTGGATGCTAACACACAATAAGGGCATGGGGGAGGGAAGGGTAAAAGTTCATTGGATTAGACAAAGGGGAATGAAGGGGGCATTGGAATAGGAAAGACAGTAGAATGAATTGGATATAACTTTCCTATGTTCATGTATGAATACACAACCAGTGAAACTCCACATCATATAAAACCACAAGAATGGGATCCTAAGTTTACTCCATGTATATATAATACGGCAAAATACACTCTACTGTCATGTGTATCTAAACAGAACAAAAAAGAAAGAAAGAAGGAAAGAAACCCATTCAGCAGTTACAAACTTAGTTTAAATATCAATGTCAGGGTACAGCAGCCAAAGACACCTGTTAGCGTGTTCAAACCTGTTTTGTAATGAGTGTTGACTTAACTTCCAGCAAATTCTTCAGAAGGAAATACTTATATCAATAAACTTGTACCCCAAAGTATCTCAGTGACTCATAGGCTGATAGGGAGGAGAGCTGAATTAACAGCAAGTAATGAAGAAAACAATTATAATCAAATAGTAACAAACATTTCATTCTATTAGGGAAAAAATCAATCACAATATTCTTTGTTCAAAAAAAAAAAAAGGAGATGTGCAGGGCCTCTTGCCAAAAGCAATTGCAGCACATTAATATTAAACACGATCTACTGGAGTCAGAAGTTGTTTGGGGAAAACATCCAACACAGTAAAGGCATATTCTGCATGATAAATTCTTAGCAAAAAAAGAAGGAACTTAAGCCTCTTTTCTGTTTCACCTGGGATTGATGTTTCTTTTCATACAAAAAAAAAATCAAAGAAGAAAAATGAAATATAATTTAGCTCATATATTTTTCCTAGAAATGTTTAAAAAGAAGCAAGTGCTTCCTATTTCTACAAATTGAAAATGTCCAAATTTAAGAATAAGGCTTATCTTTGTATGACTGAAGAAGTAACACTGAGTTTGAAGAATCATTTTGGTTTTGTATCTAGCAGGAACAGTCATAGCTTTCCCCTACCCCCAACATCTTCCTAAGCAACACAGCCTTCCTTCCTCCTAAGCAAGACAGGCAACCAGGCAACGTAACTCCCTTTGGACTTTATAACCA